CGCATGTCAACAAGGAGACTGTTAAAAAATCGCCTGTACGGGTCACGAACCTTCGTGGGCTCACGCTAATCGAGGGATTTTCTTAATTTCCTTCGCCCCGCTTCTTTAGCGAATAATAGATCACATTATTCGCGGAATCGATCGCTTTTCAGCAGAAAGCGAAGTACGTCCTTTAAACCACTAACCATTTACTGTATCTGGTAGTCAGCTTTATTCATTATATCATTGACTGGAGTTTGATTCTTTACTATTGCTTTTTTCAAAGAAGCGAACTGAATACCGACAATTTTCCGCAACGAAACTTGAGGACTCACTAGCCTCCCTTTTGTGCAACTAGACCCGGGCCGACCGAGTAGTCTGCCATATGTGCTTCCGGTTTATCAATTGTGGTTTTGGAGGTCTGAAGTTTTTGAACTTTCGGTTACCTTGATGTAACATGCATGGAGACGAACAAACGTCAAAGTTGAAGTTTTGATTTGACATAATTGAAAGAAGGAAAAAAATGTAAGTGCTAAATGTGCGTACTTAATTCCGATGGTTTTTTTTTTACGATTTTCAAGGGGGAAAGAAGGAGGAAGAAAAAGAAGAAAAAGAAAGCTAAACATTGGTGGGATACATTATCGGTAAGCTTCATTTGTAACGTTATGTACCCAAGTTTAGTCGTTAATTATATTTCAAGGCCCAACGTTCTCGCGCTGGATTCGAAATTTTGCGCGCGCTTGTTTCCATAGTTATACCATTAGCGTTTATGACGTCAGGAATCACCGGGTAACCGGTACTTGAGAAAAACGCGCAGATAACGACAATTTTTTGTGGAAGTGTTTTGCGATGCATCTCCACGTCGCATTGCTATAAATTTGCTCGGTATATCTTTACAAGGGATGTTTATCTGTAAAGTGCACCATGGAAAACAAAATTGAATTCAGGTTGCATTCGGGAAAAGCTTGCCGGCTTTGGTCGGAAATTTGTTAAAAGATGTGGTAATCTGGGAATTGTTTCCAAAAAATTTCTTCTTGGCAGAAGCTAGTTTAGAAGCAAATTGTCAAAGAAAAGAAATATATAATACATTTCTAGTTACGTTGGGTAGCGTAAAGTACTAACAAATTGTTTTAAATAATCTTTCTCTTCAAATGTCTTTCAGAAACCTCCCGGGGCTTCAGAAACTGGTGACAGTGCAACGGCAGACGAGAGTGGCGGCATGAAGGAGGTAGGACTTAAATAAAAGTTAGAGGGTTGAGTTTGGAAATTTTAGGCGTAATCTTTGCAGCAAGGCAAACGGCAAAATTAATTCTGATAAATTTCCCCTAACTTTTAAAATGTTATCCACAGCAGAATTTAGAAGCATTCACTTAGTCACAGCCATTGTAGATATTTCTGTTAGGCGTTTCATTGGTAGATTGAGATAAACGGATAAACGGCGAAAAACCTTTGCGAGTTTTGAACATAACGTAACATCAGAGATTTAGTACCTAGATGACCTGCATTATATGCAAAATGCACCTAAATGGTTTAACTGCTCCTCATGAAAAGCATGCATAATTGCCTTCTTGTCTAACTCAGATGTTATCGTTCCTTGACAGAACACCTGTAGGGAATGGCGTGGAAATATCCACACAGTAAAGTATTGTTCCTACTAATAAAAGTACCCAAAATATGAGACTAACTTACTTGAATACTTACCAGGCTCTTATTTATGAATATAGTTTAGAATTAAACATAACCACAATTTGGTCCTAATATTTAAAACAACGAAAAGTAAACCATTACAACAACCACAATGAAAAAAAGCAGGAAGTTGTCGAAAATATTTAAAGTACCCATAACTGTAACAAAACTTACCGAATTTTACCATTTAAATTTCGCAAGAATAATTTTGACAGACTCTCGATTGACAAGTTCGTTTTTTTTGACAAGTCTTTTTTTCCCGTTATTTAATGAATAAAACCAAACGATTTTTTTACAGTTTTCTATGAAATTATTTTAAATTTGTTGTAATCTTTGTTGAGCGTTTCAAAGTCATGCCAGGAAAACTTACGATCGCATTTACGATCTCGTGGCTCGTACAGAGTCGTATGGCGTTTTGGGTTAAATGATATTAGGAGTTTAGTGAAGCCTCGAAACAAGAAGATAAATAGGTTATCTCCTTTATTTCACCACATTGAAAAAGATTCAAATGGCCGACCGGGAGAGTGACCAAGACAGAATTTCTCCTTACATTATCGATACAGTAGCAAGCAGAAAAGTGATGAGAATAAAGAAAAATATCGATAAGGGGGGTATGAGTTGATCCAATACCAAATTCTCCGAACTAATATCGTAAGAATCATGAAAAGACAATAAGGAGAATTATAAATGAGATCTTAGGAGTGAAAGGGTTGATTGGTTTATAACAAAATAAACTCAGACGTCGAATTCGGTAGTGTTGACGTGGTCAGTCAAAGCTTTCCATCTTGTTTTATACCTGAACATTATTTTCAGACTGTTCTGTGAATGACTGGGAGCTCGAGATGAAGGGGTGGGACATTTATGAAATAAAAAGCTTATTCAGAATCATTTGGGGCAATAACTGGGGAGGGAGAGGAGGATGGGTTGAGGGCAAGCTCTTTGCGGTGGCCTGGGGACAAGTTCATCTTGAAGACTCCACACTTTGATGCGCATTCCTCGCATATATAAGTGATTTGACCAATTCTTTGTAATCTTCTTGTAAACAGAAAAAGATAAAGACGAACTTTGGAAAGTTTGTGAATCCTTATGTGCACCGGACAAATGGTGGAATCCCTATCTTCTCTCAAGAGAGAATTAAAAACCGAGCGAAAAAGGTAAACACATTTAGTCTTCTCTACTTAACTAGAACTGCAGACAAGTTTGGATGCTTCAAAAATAACTTCAAATAGTTTTATTTTGATTTAATTTGGTGTAAAGGAATTGTCTCGCAATGTCATCAATTAACCTGTGTTATTGACGTTGCTAAAGCCGCTAGGTTTCCAAAAAGGGTAAGAAATAACTTTTCTTAAGGCATCAAATGCTGATAAATTGAATCATGCAATCCGCAGCTAGGAATTGAACGAAACGTTAATTATGCCACACCAGAGCAAACCACGACGGTGACGTTTTAAAACTTTGCAAATATTTTAGCTATCATCTGCAAAGCAACCTGAAATCATCAAAATTTGCGCAGTCTGAGAACGGCGACCCCACGCCAAATTATTCAAGTTTCCATTCGGAACTCCACTCTGATCACATAAGAGATGCCGAGATTGAGGTGGTAAACTCATCCAGTCATTTGCGAATTTTTAACTGAAAATGTAAATTCATCTCCCTCGACGTTGCCTTCCTGACTTCTTAAGGACCCACAGTGACTCACGGGGATCGACAAGCTGAGTGGTTCAACTGATCAAGCAAATAAAGACGAAAAAAAAATTTGTTCTTTTTCATACAGAGAGAGGAATCGCAAAACGGTGGCTCACAGGAGGCAGAGAACAAAGATTTCCTAGTAAAGGTAAAAAGAGGAAACTTTCAAATAACCAGAGAAGCATAATTTACATTAACATCTGTCTACTCTAACAAAAAATTATCTCAAAATGTTATTCATTTGCCTATGTAACTTTTTCTTTTTCTTTTAGTATGCAACACAGGAACCCCAACTATCACCGCAGGTTCTCGCCGTAACTGATGACACAGAGATGAACTTCATCACCGCTCAGAGACGTGTGGCGTATTACATGTTTGCTGCAAATAAAAATCAGCAGAACTGGGCAACGGCGAAAGCAGGGCCAACACGCACGAAACCCCCACCCAGTCCCCCTAAAAACGTTGTAGAGATGGACTCGTTAAAATTTGATTATCTGATCGGGGACGGGTATGGCTTCACCATCCGCATTCCAGGGAGAAAACCACAGAGATCTCGCACTCAGCCCCCACTGCAGACATTCGAGGAGGCGCGACTCAAACCCAGGAAAAAGCAAGTTTCTCCGGCTTATGCTTTTGACTTGGGTGACGATCAGGTAGCACTCCCGGATGTGACCCCCGGTCTTCACAATCGTCACCACAACCGTTACTATAGGAACGATTCCGAAGAAGAGTTTGGTCGAAGAAGACCTACCAAAAACACCCAAATGAGACGAGGATTGTCTGGTTCATTTGGGGGCGAATTGCCAGAACAAAAGAGAAACAACTTTGCTAGGTCACGAAGTGAACATGGAATGTCAGTTAGGAGCGAGGACAGTGAAGATGTTTCGTCTAAAAGTGCTGGTCACAGACCCAGAAACGAACGCCCAATGTTTGAGCCTTCAGCGCCAATTCCGTCATATGTGTCTTCTCCTTATGCCAGTCGTAAAAGATGACCCTAAATCGGCGACTTCCTCTAATTTCCACCATCTCTTACAAAGCCCTTTTCTTCAAATGACCGCTGGCCTTGATATCTGAAGGCTCTGAGCCTCACCAAGGGAATTCAGCTACATGACGAAAGACCGCCTGTTAGATAAAACTATTCTGTTACTTAGTAACCATGCTTAAGAAAGCGTTGTACCTGGCTCCAGAGTTTAGCTATCTATAAGATCGGGTGATAAAGAAATACCATAATTGATTTGATCTTGCTTCACGACGCTCTATGATTGTTAAAAAACTCACGCTACCTTCTCAACCAATCAGGTTCAAACTAAAACCAGTCGTTGCTTTCTCTCTCGCCTTTTTTCGCGCTTAATGACGTTTGTTTTTCATTGGTTCCTTTGCAATTTTTCCTTCGAGCTAATTTGCCGTTATAGTAAGTTTGGTGTAGGTGTGGTTTTAAAACACTAAATTAAAAAGCGCTCTAAAAGTTTGTAAATTAAATTGGCATTTACAAGTCATAAAGACAATTGGTGAGTTACCCTCAGAGGAAAGTTCCTCATTTACTCTTGTTAAATGAACAATTTCATGCATTCAAGACTCAAATTTCATTTATACTTAAGATTATATATTTTTATTAAGAATAATTTCCGACAAATATTTTATACACAGAGTTCTTTAAGCTCATATCATCCATATATTTATTCACAAGGGCTCACAGCCATGTTGGTTTTGTACATCAGAAAATTAAACAAAATACAATGAAGAATTATTTAAAGTTTATAAATCGGCGCGTTAGAAAGATTTGTTTGTAAAAAGCGGAGTGCATAATGTGTTTGTTTTTGTCTCAGGACCGGAATTTGTGATGAGAAGGAAGAAATAAAGAACTGCACTAAAAAGAATTCTGGTTCCAAGTTTCTTTTTTTGAAAGATAAACATCATGAAGCTCACTGAGAAGGACTGGACCCGAACGGGAAAGCTGTGCAGCTTCATCGTCCACCAATCAGGGGATGATTTAACTTTGGGTCACGTGAGAAGGCGTGCGGTTTCCAACCCCGTTTCATCCTCTAACAACGAATTTACTCGGTATCTCTGAAAGTATGAACAATATAAACATAGTTTAGCTAACAGGTTCTCTGGCAAATCCTTGCAAGAATTAGCCTGAGCGTGGACCTTGTTTTGCTGGTAGCCTGGATGCCACCTGCCGGTTATTTGTTAATTTTTTTGCATGGATCTTTTTAGTATGCGTAATGCTGTTTTGTTTGTTCCCTATCTGCGGTGTAACTTTTTCAGCGTTAGGACTTTTATTGCGTAGTGCTTTTTTTGTTCGTATCACACAACGTATTTGTTATTAATGACTGTAAATATGCGAAAATGATATGAGTGAACTGCAGTTTAAGAAATGAAAATAGAAGCCATTGTGAACACTACTTAAACATTAGTGAAAATAAGGCCTGGAAAAATTTTTTTTTCATAAATTGTACTTTGTACTGTGATTCAAATTCGTATACGGTTTCTCATGTGAAAACCTTTTTTTCCCTGTTTAATGATATTTCACTTTTTGCTTGAGTTTACTATTATTTTTGTTCATACATGATGTGTAAGTAATTTTACCTCGTTTTTCACCAACAAGTCTCTGATGTATATCTTGTCAGGGCTGGGAGGCACAAGGCTTTGTAGGCGAACAGCTTTAAGTGCTGTTGGTTGACAGCCAATTAAATGGTTCACTTCTGAACTCTAAAAAAAATTAAGCAAGATTTATAGTTTTGAAGGTAATTGCACGTGTGTAAAATGTTACAAAAAAAAAACCTTCACAGTTTCAGAGTGCCTTGGCCCTTTGAAAAACCGGGGCCAGAAGAGATCAACACATAACTCCTTACAGTATCCATAAAACAGGTAACGAGAATACTTAGACTTTCACTTTTCAGGTAAAAGCTGTTCCCTTTATGACACAACAAATTCTTGTTGCTAATTTACAAGGAAATGCGTAGCAGCTCAAGCTAAGAGAAGAATTAATAATTAGATTTTTGGAGTTAAAAGATTCAGCTTACTCTGTTATTTTGGTATCTGAGCCTCATCAGCCTTATTCGGTTCCTTGCTTCTGCAGCTCTGGTAAATAATTTAATAAATGATAAATATATAGATTAATCAGAGGCCCACCCAGCTGCCTTGGCATGAAGCAACTAGGAGTATTACCACCCCTCCCCCTAGATGGGATGCTCATCTATTGCAAGGTTACCCCCAAGTGTTTCATCAGGGTTCCCTGATAATTTGCTGGTACTGGTACTGGTACTCATTTACAACCTTTTATGTTACTGTGAAAGTAAAGTGTTTTACCCAAGACACACAACATGATGACCTGGTCAGATCTCCAACCCATACCTTTGGACCCAGGGTATAGTGCACTAGCCTTTCAGCCACTGTATCCCCCACAACAAACTTTAAAACCACTTTATATTCTAAATCTGTATCAAATAACATCAACCCTTTACTCTCTAACATCAGTATTGATATTCTTCATACTCCTTTCTGGGTATTTCCTTTGATGCTGACAAGGAGAATTTGTTTAACACTCAAAACCTCTTTATTTGGTGATCATTTTTGTTTTCTCATGATCTTAATTTATGAATGATTCAGCAGTATTACTGTAAGGAGAAATTAAATGCTCATCACTCTTAGGGTTTAAAGAGTTCACCCTTTATCTCACAGAAATGATCGACATGAAACTTCTCCTTATTATATTTTTACATAATCCAGCAAACGGATGATGAGAATATTCAAACTTATCAGGTAGAAGTTGTCACCTTGATCTAACACCAAATTCTCATAACTAACCTATAAGGAAATGTGTTGCAGCCAAAGGGGAGAATTAACAATCAGATCTTGGGAGTTAAAGGGTTAAATGAATTCACTTACTTTAGTTGTCCAATAATCTTTGTATGCCTTTCACCCTCAACAACTTCTTCATAAGGAGGGGGCTTCTGTTGCCTTCAGAAAAACATTTTAAAATTAAATAAGGGCTGGCATGTGCAAAATTTTACGATGATTACATGGTAGCAGGGGGTTTCAGTAATAGCAAGTTACCCACAGTATATCACCACCTGTGTGGCCTCTGTTTAGCCCGCAAGAGAGCTCTTGCATCTGGGTTTCACCTTATGGCACAGCTGCTCATTGAACCACTGGCCAGCAGCTTTTGGAAAAAGTTATTGAGACCCCTGTGCTGGTTCAGAAAAAGTCTAAGAATCATCGGAAGCAGTGAGTTACTTTTCAGAAAAAGGGCTACCCCAGAGTTAGCCTGCAGAAAAGGTATATTTTTTTTGCATTTTTTAGTTGAATGGAGGCAAACACAAAGCAGCACAAAGTGAGAGTCATGAATGCTTCATGCTCACCTAGCGCTTGTTCCTGTTCACCTATAAAACACAAAAAGTTACGCCTGTTCTGCAGGCTAACCCAGCTTTTGAGGAGTAACCTGTGCCTTTGAGCACTATTTCCGATCCTTCAAAAAAATTTTTTTTCTAGTAGGTGAGAAAAATGAGGAAAAAATGATGATAATGATGCCTGTTTTGCTGATTCATGAAATGTGGTAATTCATTTTTTTCACAAGTAAATTATTTGTAAAAGCAATTCACCAAAATGTTTTTTGTAACTCAGTTCAGCATTAAGAAAATGAATGCATTTGATGCCTGTCATTTTGAGCCATATTTTTAACAACTGTGTGGCCATTAATGAAACTATTACAGTGACAGAGACACAGGCAGATAAGGAAAGAGATGACAACGCAACTTCCATAAATGTCTAGGGAAGTTGTTTTGTCAGTTCTGAGGTCTAAACCCCTCCTAACTTAACACTGTGAAATCCTATTTTCACAGTTATGTCTAAAATTGCTCATTAGATGGATGCATGACATACTACTTAAAATGAGTTAAGGGTTTTATCAACCAGGAATTTTAGTCCACCTATGAGCTATAACATTCCTGTCCAGAGAGTGATGGTATGTAGAAATTCCCTCTTAACCCTCAACACTCAAAAATCAGAGTTCATATTCACCATAATGTTCCCTATACATTTCCTATAATAATGACAAGTGGAAAATGCTTAACGATCAAGAACTTCTAAAGCTGGTGATCACTTCCTTCCTTCTCATAACCTTAATTTTTAATCCAGTTGCATTACTGTTATGTGTGTATTCATGATGTAACATCTTTTGCATGGTAGCAAACACAATATTTAATTACTTTCGTTTTGACTTATCCATCTCTTTTAGTCTCTTTCTTGCTGCAGACATTGCTTCATTGCATTCTTTTGGAGCAGGCTCGTACTTCAAAGCAATAGAAAAAGAAAACCAAAATGAATAATATTGTCTATAACAATAAATGAACATATGAATGTACGAACAAATCAATAAAAGAATCATCTAAAAAATGGCCAGTCAGAACTTGTTATACTCTTTCGTCCTGCTTCCTGGTAATAATAATCAACTAATGATTTACGAGTCATCAAGAAGACCTATTAATATAAAGTTTCTTATGATCTCCTTATCATTTATCTTACATTGGAAAACTATTCTTTGTTGAGCTTATGGCGATGAATAAATTTGAACTTGAGTTATTTGAGTAGCCTGAATGTCTAAGCGAATTGAGGAAGTTCTGAACACGTCTCTTGTTATTGCAATTTATAAGGAACTTAATATGAGGTAGAGGTAAGAACTACTCATCACATATCTTGAGGAGTTCTATGGTTAAATAGCAAAAAAACAAAACAAAACAAAAATAATGGTAACTAAAAGATCTGTCTCTTACAGCAAGGTATTTGCTCCGCTGTTGTGGAGGCAGCTTCTGAATTTCTTTTTTGCTAAGAGATTTCCAGTTTGTCGCATGGAATTTTTCCCGTGGCTGGTCGTCTCCTCCGGAGCTTTTCTTTTCTATGTTAGGTAGCTTCACACTCGACGAAGATTTTTCCTGTTCGGATGAAGTATAGTTACACAATGAAAAATGACGTAGCACGGCCGAAAAGCAGCACATCAACACGTACACAAGCAAAGTTTTGGCGAAATATATAAAGAAAAGTCCTACAACACTGTCATAAAAAAACGGAGAAAGATCAATTTAAACTAACCATTGTTTAAAGCATTGTTTTATCAGATCATGAAGCAAACGACAGATCGAAAGGGAATCGTGATCAAAAACGCCTCTCTATCAAAACCCTGCGTCTTTCTTCTTTCTCAACATACTGCCATCTTGTTCACTTTTGCGCCAATAGTTGTCATGGGAACAAGGCGATTATCTCTTTCCCAAGTCGAGGCAATCTTCTTTCCGCTGTTCAGTAGTATAGACGGCGCAAAAAAACATGGCGGCTTCACAAATGCGGGATTGTGTAAACTCTTAGTTTAAAGTTAACAAAAATGAAGGTTAAGGTCCTTTCAAGGAACCCAGCAGACTATATTCGAGAAAGAAGGACCGATATTCATAAGATCCATCGCAATTTTGATCCTTCGTTGCATCCATTCGAAGCACCGCGCGAATATACACGGGCACTGAATGCCATCAAACTCGAACGCGTGTTTGCCAAACCGTTTGTTGGTTCGTTAGGCGGACACACAGACGGTGTAAATTGCATTGCTAGACATCCAAGGAATCTATCTGTGTTGCTGTCTGGGTCTTGCGATGGAGAGGTAGGTATTTATTGCATTTCTGTGGCGAAATGACTGATTCAGGGGATTAATCGATTTCATGAACACGTGTTTGAAGTGTAACTTCTTATAATGTTAATACATCACCACTATACGAAAATGAGAATAGAGAAATGCATCAGTTAGAAGATTTTATTTTCATTTAACGAAAAAAATCTCATATATCAGATTTTGCTAACATAAACCTTAAACTTCAGTAGTGATCAACATTTAACTTCTCCCAATAATATCCATACATTATTCAGCAAACAGGTAATAAGAATATTTAAAGGGGATAAGTTTCCTAAGAAACTGGGTGCTGAATCAGTGCAAGAGTATAACAGGGTAATTTAGTAAAATAAACAAGTTGATAACATAAATTGGCCACTGTTAAGAGTTTCAAAGCTGATGTTTCCAGCATTTGCCCTTTGTTAGAGTGTATTTAATGATACTTCAACTTTTAAAACAAAGTTGTTTTGTTGATCTAATACAAAATTCTTGTACCTAATTTACAATGAAAAGTGTAACAGTTAGATGGGAGAATTGATAATCAGATCTTGGGACATAAAGTGTTAACCCATTCACTCCCAAGATCTCATATATATTTGTGATTTGCTTTACTCTCTGCCACACAATTCTTATACTGGGTATTTGGAGAATTTGTTATTGATGAGGATAATCCCCTAATTGATAGTTTTCTTTATTTCCATCACTTTTCTGGTTGATATTGCAATTAATTATTGCTAACAATTTTCCTTACAATGACGCAAGGTGTCATTGTAAGGAAAAATTACATGTAGATGCTAATCACTCTCAGGGATCAAGGGAATAATGTGGGACTAAAGACTTTCCAAACTTTGAGCTGCAGTTATTATTTCACAAGATATTGAGTGATGTGTTGTATTTGTGATATTTTAGATTCGCTTGTGGAGTTTGCCACGTAGAGAGTGCCTGAAGACATTAACAGCACACACTGGTTTTGTGCGTGGTTTGTGTACCTCTCCCTCTGGAAATACTTTTCTCTCTGTAAGTTCTATACCTGTACTTAGTTTTACAGTTGAATATAGGGGGTAAGTTTCTAAGGAAACTGTGGTGCTGCATTGGTGGGAGAGTATAACAGGGTAATTTAGTATTATCAACTGAGTTGATAACATAAATTGGCCACCGTTAAGAGTTTCAAAGCTGATGTTTCAAGCATTAGATCTTCATTATTTGCTCTGAAAAATGCTCCAAACATCAGCTTTGAAACTCTCAATGGAGGCCAATTTACACTATACATCATCAACTCAGTTGGTAACACCAATTAGTTAGTTTTACGGTTGTTTGTTTAAGTGCATGAAGCAGTGGCTTAGTCCTTATGAGCTCTTTAGTACTTACTATTAACATAAACATTGATTAATTAGAAAATAGTAAATTTATATAGCACTTATGGCAGCCTCTCAGTGCTTTACAATATGAAAGAGAAAGAAACATAGAGATTCCATGTTTCCGTGCTTCTATTTAACAAATAGATTCAAAGTTGCCATGTGTCTGTTCAGTAATAGATCACAGATGATGTCAAAATGTGGTAAGAACAAAAAAGTGGCACACAAGGTGCAGCCAAGTGTGTCACTGATGTTCTTACCACATTTTGATGTTCTCTGTGATCTATTACTGAACAGATGCACGGCAACTTGGAATCTATTTGTTTTATATAATAAAGAATTGAAAAAAGTTTTAATGATGATGTCATCTATATGTCTGTCCTCCAATAGGTCATAAGTGAGAAAAAAGCCGAATGCATGCATAACTGAGCTTATTATATAATTAGTAATAGATGGCAGATGATGTTAGAATGTGGTTACCATTAGAACGAAAAAGTGGTACACAAGGTACAGATGAGTGGGTTACTGATGTTCCTATTAGTTTAACAAATAGATTTCATGTTGCAGTGCTTCTGTTCAGTTATAGATGGCAGGTGATGTCAGAATGTGGTTACCATAAAAACAAAAAAAGTTGCACACAAGGCACAGCAGAGTGTGTCACTGTTGTTCTTTCCAAATTTTGACTTTTTCTGTGATCCATTACTGTACAGACTCACAGCAACATGGAATCTATTTGTTTTAAGGAAGCAAATGATTGTTAGTGGTGAGGTTGTCTATGTGTTTCTCTGTCAGTAGATCGTAAGTAAAAACCTATAAAAATTAGTGTGTAAATAGGCTTATTACATACGAAAAAAAAAAGTAACCATTTTTCCCACACAACAGGTTGGGGATGACAAAGTTATAAAACAGTGGAGCATGGAACAAAGCTTTGATATCAGCTTGGAGAATTCACAGACTCCAATCAACACCATCATTGGCAAGGTATTACTTAAAAAAAATGTTTCAAACAAAGTTATGAAGGTTCTATCCCAGTGAGACTGAAAACTTAAATTTTTTCCTTTATCAAAAATATATAAACAATAGCCTTCATAACCCTCCACACTCAGACATCAGTATGCATATTCTTCATACTGTTCTCTATACATTTCCTAAAGTGCTGACAAGGAGAATTTGTTTTACAATCAAGGACTTCTTAAGTTGTGGATCATTTCCTTTATTCTCATGACCTTAAAATGATTCAAGGGTGATATTGTAAGGAGAAATTAGATGCTGGTCACTCTTGGGGATCAAAGGGTTTTAAAAAAATGGTGCAAAAACTTTCCTGGATATGTTCCCGGAAGTGAATAGTTTTCCTTGAGGAAACTGTGAACTCCAAAGAACAGATAATGTATGTGGGTGTAAATATTTGAGCATGCTTTCTGCCAAATGAAGACTGTTGTGTTTATTATTCTTCAAACACTTATTCCAATGTGTTGAACAAAATGTTCATAAACTGCTTTTGGTTTGGAATGAATCTTGACTATTAAGAGCAACTTTCTGTATGAACAAAAAATGGAAGAAAAGAAAAACAAACTGAAAACCTGCCATCACGAGGGATCAATCCAGAGCCCTTTCACTTGAGAGAAGAACCGCTATCCATTGTGCCAAGTTTGCAGAGCGTAATTGTTGTTGGGAATTTTCTTTAAGCAAGCAGACTATATGGATAAAATGCAACTTTTTCTTACTAAAAGTTTTCAAATACGAAGTCAGTTCAGGGGACTCAACAACTCAACCTGTATGATTAATTTTCTAACTTCAGTGGCTCCGTGCCACTTTGATTCTTGTCACTGATATCGTAGCTTCTCTTTTATAGAATCTCTACCATGGTATTGACTACAGCTGGAAGAGCAATGACTTTGCAACGTGTGGAGAGCAAGTTGACATTTGGAATGAGAACAGAGCTGATCCTATTCGAAGCTTCAACTGGGGCGTGGACACTATTCACAGCATCAAGTTCAACCCCATTGAGGTTTGACCTTTTGTTTGAATTTTTTAATCCTTTAATCCATGAAAGTGACCAATACAGAATTTCTTCTTAAAATTTCAATACAATATCAACCAGATAAGTGATGAGAATGGAGAAAAATATCAATTTGGGTATAATCAGTTGATCCAATAATAAATTATCTGAACTAACATTATAAGAATTGTATGGTTGACAGTAAGGAGAATTACAAATTTGATCTGGGAGTTAAAGGGTTAACACCCTAACATTATTATGAAAATGTTCTATGTTCATCTCTACATTCTCTTTGTGAATGACATGAAGAATTCGTTTCACAATCAAAGCCTCTTTAGTTGTGGATCATTTCCTTTTCTCTCATAAATTCAATGTTTGATTCAGCAGAGTGATTGTAATGAGAAGTTAGATGCTGGTTTAGGGTTTAAAGGGTTAACTCGGTTTGTTACAATAGCTACGTTATTTTGATAAACTCTAAAACTTCCTTCAAAATGCCACACATAATCAATATGGTAGAGAGAAAATTTATTTCTATTAGTGAGATTGTGTGAAGTGTTTTTACTTAAAATAAATTCAGAAAACAGCTTGAAAAGTCTCTTTCCATCAAGCTCAGTTCGAATTATCATTTGTGAGAAGCACGAGGAGTCAGAAAAATTGGCGCCTTGATTGAGCACTGCTTCTGAGTTGATGAAAAACTTTAATGAATGCCGCGGCACTATAGAACAATTTTCTCATGAGTAATCAGAAATTGCTTTGATTTTGCTTTTACTTTACTCTACACTGTGATTGGTTCAGAAAACTTGCGGTGTCGACTCAGCCAATCAGATGCAAAAGTAAAACAATCGCGACTTGGCCATTCGCATTCGCAGTTTTAGTTCTCATTGGCTAATGATAATGTAAAACTTTGTTCTGATTAGTTTTGATTTTTGTGTGACTCTGGATTGAATGCTGCTCCATCGATTGAATTTGGTTTTCTCCGATCTGTGTTGAATACCATAAAGAACAAAAAACAACAACAAAACATTTAAATAATGAACGCTTTATTCCTCTAACTAAAAAACTTTGGAGAACATTGCTTACACTGTTATTTCGTTCCCAGACACACCTTCTCGCTAGCACCGCCTCCGATCGTAGCATCATCCTTTACGATATGCGGGGTTCTGCTCCTCTGCGTAAGGTTGTTATGGAAATGAGAAGCAACACAGTGGCCTGGAACCCACTCGAAGCGTTTGTCTTCACTGCAGCTAACGAGGATTCAAATCTTTACACATTTGACATACGCCGATTCAAAGAGCCAATCAACGTGCACATGGATCACGTGTCTGCCGTCCTCGACGTAGATTACTCACCCACGGGACAAGAATTTGTGAGCGGCAGTTATGACAAGACGATAAGGATTTTTGAGCGGGATTCTGGGCGAAGCAGGTAAGAATTTGCGTCTGAGGCTTAGAAAGAGACGAGATGTTTTTAAGTCAAAGTTTGCACTGAGTCTTGAATTCTTGAAAGCGAATTTTTACAGAAAAATCATAGATCTGACACTCATATGACGACCACTCGGTCGGGTTGAGTTGCACGAAATGATCCCCCCCTGAAATTCAGCGAACAAACTTTAGTTCCCTCTGCGACCTCTAAGTCGTTTCCTTTGTCCCAACGAACTCCACGAATCCACTGTTTCCGCCACAGAGGCGAACAGGGAACTGTAAAACAAAAGACTCTCCCCTTGATCTTGCTTCCTTTTGATGGCATCCAGGAACACGAAAAATTGTATTCCTTTGCTTCAACAGTGCGTAATTGTGGGGTGAGAGTTTTTTTGGCAGGCCAGCTCAGTTTAATTATTCCCGCTAAAACCTTTTTAATTGGTGTTGGCGAGGGTTTCTTTCTTTTTTTTTTTTAAATTTTGTACATAACAATTGTCTGATGTCGGCATTGGTCTTCAGTTTGACAGACTCTAATGGCTAGACTTTGGTTTGTTTAAACAGGGAGGTCTACCATACCAGCCGAATGCAACGCGTATCCTGTGTGAGGTTTAGCGGGGATTCCACTTATGTACTTTCTGGAAGTGACGAGACAAATATCAGGTGGGTTCAATGCGACGATCTTACAGCGTAGCTGTAAAGCAAGCATTCACGCAATACGACCTGGTAACAGTGGACAAGAAGAGCACTTCGTGGAATGTCCCCTGCCTATTTCCCACTCCTATTATTTCTATTATACTGACGAGGACGTATCTTTCTTAACAGAATATGGAAAGCTAATTCTTCACAAAAGCTGGGAGCGGTAAGAGACCGAGACATTCATTCGTTATTTTTCTATTCACTGAATTTTAGTTGTTTTTCTTTCCATATCTAGTAAGCTACATTTTCTTTTGCATTTTAGCTTGCACCACGAGAAAAAGCAGCTTTCAGTTACAATATAAAGTTGAAAGAGAGGTTTAAACATCATCCCCAGCTGAAGAGAATTAAAAGGTAGGCGAAATTTGCAAGATAACAAAGAAGTTTGTAATGAATAATCAAGGGCGCATTTGGTTGGTGATCATTTCCTTTATTCTCGTGACCTTAAGATGTGACTCTGGGGGCAACATTGCGGGGAGAAATTAGTTGCTGGTCATTCATTGGGGTTACTTTGCATGTCTTTAAGATTAATTAATAATTTGTTTTTTTGTTGTTTTATTTTAGACATCGCCATGTTCCCAAAGCGGTTTTTAAGGCAGCCAAGGAAAAGAAGATAATGATGGCTTCTATAAAGAGGAAGTATGTAGCCATTACAGCCATTTTGTTGTGTTACATCAACACAGCGGTAAATTGTCGGGCATACGCAAGGGGATGAATTCTGGCCGACCGTGCGCCAATTTCCCGCGCAAAATTCTAAAGGGAAACATAGGGAACAACCGTCGTCTCGCAAAATAAGAAGAACGTTCATTGAAATTCGTAAAAGGAAACAGAAGTAAGGAAAAGTAAAACTAAAGATTTTCGGACACAAAGCTCATTCAGGTGCAGGTATCCTGTTGATCCATTTTGTTGTGAGTTTTAACAAAAAAAAACGCTTTTAAAACACCGTGACTTACTGACTTGTGTGGTTGTTAGTAACTCCTGTGAGACAACTTAGTGCTGGAAGCCTGTTTTAAACCTTTATGAATGGAGTCGTTATTTATTGATTTCCAATATTCTTTCTCTACAGGGAGGAGAACAGACGTATTCATAGTAAGCCAGGAAGTGTGCCTCGTGTTGCGGAAAGAAAGAAACATGCTGTTTCCGTCGTTGAATAAGCAAGCAAACAAAGAAAGGTGCGCTGATAAGTATTTACAAGCATGGCGGATCCTTGATCAGGCGATTGCAACAGAGGAACGTGAAGTACATCAACGCAAATCACTTGTGACCTGTGACACAATTCCGATATAGTGTATAAAAGGAAACGTTTCGAGCTTCTTTTTGTACGAGAATTTGCGGAGTTATGAGCGATGATTGTCGGAAAAAAACTCCTGGACCGAAATTTACCGACTTGTTAAAGCAGAATATCGGATTTTATTTTATTTTGTTTTATGAATTTGGCGAGGAATGACTTGATTCTGGGAACAGTTTGAAGCGTCTTTTTCGGGACATTGTGGCACATTTTGCGGACTAAAGGGAAGATTTTGGTGCGCTAAAATGCATTTTAGCCTGCTCGCACGCCCTCATGATTGTTCAGACTGTTATGTTGTCATATTTTTCAGTTTATAATTTTTTTAACGTCCTCCAATGTGATTCAAATAGTAATAGGGTTTGTGTTTTTGGACATAAATATGTTTTGAGCCTTTCTCGGGGCTCATTTTAACCCTATAACCTCTAAGAGTGAC